TTTGCAAACCATCTATCTGATAACAGTTTCATATCCAAAATATATAAGGAATTCATATGAGTCAATATCAAAAAAATAATCTAATTAAAAATAGGCAGAACTGAGTATACATTTTCTCCAAAGACATACAAGTAGCCAATAGGTATACAAAAAGGTGCTCAAAGTTGTTAATGATCAAGAAAATGCAAAACAAAAACATAATCAGAGGGGGCTGGCTCTGTGACTGAGTGGTTAAGTTTGCATGTCCTGCTTTGGTGGCCCAGGGTTTTGCCATTTTGGATCCTGGGTGCAGTCCTAGCACAGCTCATCAAGCCATGCTGAGGTGGCCTCAAACATAGGAGAACTAGAAGGACCTAGAATATACAACTATGCACTGGGGGCTTTGGGGAGAAGAAGAAGAAGAAAAAATGATTGGCAATAGATATTATCTCAGGGCCAATCTTAAAAAAAATAAACAAATAATGAGATATCTCCACATACCTGTTAGTATAACTATCATCAAAAAGACAAGAGATAAGAAGTGCTAACAAGACTTTGGAGAAAAGGGAACCCTGGTGCATTGTTGATAGGGATGTAAATTGATACAATCACTATAGAAAATAGTATGGAGGTTCCTCAAAAAATTAAATACTGAACTACCACGTGATGTAGTAATCCCACTTCTGGGTACATACCCAACAGAAATTAAAACAGGATCTTGAAGAGATTTCTGCAGTTCCATCTTCTTTGCAGCATTTGTCAAATTAGCCAAGATATGAAATAACATAATTCTCTGTCAAAAGATGAATGGATAAAGAAATATGGTGTGTGTGTGTGTCTAGTAAGCCCTGACAGCTGGCTTTCCTTTTTGTTGTGGAGGTGCTTGACTTAAGCTTTGATTGCCCAGGCATCCATTTCAAAGAGGCATCCACTTCAATGAAAGCTACCTCCAATAAACACATTGCCAGCTACAGAACCAAATAAAGAGCCAGGATGCACGCCCACACCCTACATCATGAAGCTCCTCTGTTTTAGAAGCCCTGGTTGATTTAGATAACTGGCCATTTGGGCCTCTTGTTATTCTGTCTTTTCTTTTTTCTCTCTTTTCATGCTTTAAATTCCTGCTCTTATGTTTTAAATTTGCCAATGAAGAGTGAGCTACAGAACCCTAGACTCCCACCCTCCATTCCAATAAAAGCAGAATCCCAGGTGCAGTCTCTCTTTCTCTCTCTCTCTCCCCATCACTTCAATGGACAGAAGCAGAGAGTAGAATGGAGGTTACCTGGGGCCAGGTTGTGGGAAATGGAAAGATGTTGGTCAAAGGATCAGGTTTCAGTTATGTAGAATGAATAAGTTCCAGAAATTTGCTATATAGCATGGTGACTATAATTAATAATACCATATTGTACACTTGAAACTGCAAAGAGGATAGATCTTAAATTAATCTCATCACACACACACACACACAATGGTAATTATGTGATGGAGACAATGGATATGTTAGTTTAATTGTGGTGATCTTTTCACATTATATACATCTATCTCTCTCAAAACATCAAGTTGTGTATACTATATACAATTTTTGTATGTCAAAAAATATCTCAATAAAGCTGTTAAAAAAAGTGTTAAAGCCAGCATTTGTATTCATCAAGTCTGACTCTAAAGGTCATATTCTTATTCTTTATAGTCTCCCACCTCCCTTGAAGCTAAAATAAGTGCATTTTATGATTACTGCATCAACTTTTCAATGTTTCCTGTGCTTTTAGCCATTTACAAAGATGTTTGAAATAGGGTATAATGAGGATAGAGTCATTTGTTACAGATTTGGGACACATGCAGAAGTGGTTTACCTTGCTTCTGGTACTTAGCAAAACAACCTCAAGGAATTTGTTTATTTCCCTGACCTTTAGATTTTTTTATCTGTATGTTTACAACGGAAATATATAACTTTGTTCTATTTTTGTGAGACAGAAAAACCTTGGACACATCAGATACTACTTGTTTCTAAAGTGAAAGTATAACTAGAATTAATAATTTTCTCCTTTAGATGAATTGCTTTTGAGTGCTGGTGGTCACTTCAAAATTATCCGTTGGAAGGATATGATAGCCAAGAAATTTTAAAACTCTTACTTCATTTTTCCAGTTTTAATTTGACTAAAAGTACTTTCGAACCACACAAACCCTTCCAATTTTTCCTCCTCTGTGTAGCTTCTTCTAATTCAATTTTACAGCCTTGATTTTTTCCATTTGTTTTGTAACTTACTTCTTTTCTTCTATACCTCCTAGTTTCAATTATTTATCTGAAATGCAAATCACCATGAAAAACTGTACTGTGTCTGTGGTATGTGTATGTATTTACAAGTACTGGTATTATAATGGAGTAGATTAGGTAAATTTATGATGGATCATGACATTTCTACTCTGTGTTAATTATGCTAACCTTATCATGCATGATATGCCAAGTATGCAACACCAGTGCAGACACTGAGCTTCATACTATCTCAAAAAGCAAAAAGAAGTGAGAACACTAAAAACTTGCCTTATTTTAATGAATTTATTTTAAAATAGTCTTTGACAGGAGCATAATATTGGTATTGGTAACATTTTCCAATTAAAAATGAAATGGAATCTTGTAACTGTTACTATGAATGTGGTACACTTTAATATACTTAAATCAATGAATATTAAAAGTCCATGACATAACCCCTGGCACAGACATCCAAGGTGCAAGTGTTACTCTGCTCTGCCGACTCTGGGCACCAACCTTCTATTGGCAATTCTAACTTATGAATCTGTGCTGTCCCTGTATTAGGAAGCACAAATAGACAAAGAACATAGCTTTCTGCTGCAGTAGTGGATTCTAACTCCACTAATTAGAGACTACTGTAGTGAGCATTTTCTGAAGGCCTATGGTACTTTCTTTTATTTTATTGGAATAATCCAACTTGAAATAAAATAATACCATACATTTTCTTTCTTTCTTTCTTTTTTTTTTTTTTTGGAGGAAGATTAGCCCTGAGCTAACTACTGGCAGTCCTCCTCTTTTTGCTGAGGAAGCCCAGCCCTGAGCTAACAGCCGTGCCCATCTTCCTCTACTTTATATGTGGGACACCTACCACAGCATGGCTTTTGCCAAGAGGTGCCATTCCACACCCGGGATCTGAACCGGCGAACCCTGGGCCGCTGAGAAGCGGAGCGTGAGCACTTTAACCACTGTGCCACCCAGTTGGCCCAGGATTTTCACAGAAAATGAAGCTATAATACAAAGCTAAATTAAAGAAAGGATAATAAACACTATATCTATATTACGATACTTAGAATATAAGTTTATATCCAGATACACACGGATGACTATATATCCATATAGAGAGGAAAACCAGAAGTACAACAAAGATTAAGAGTAATTGTTTCTGGATTGTTGCCCAGGAGCTGATTTTTCTTTTCTACATGTCTGTACTTTATGGGTATTTAGAAACAAAATATATTGTTTGGTTCAACATTTTTAAAAGATCAATGGATTAGAGTTCATGATGAAATCATCCCCTAAGCTTTAGAAGGAATTATATACAAACAAAATATCACATGGGTCATCACCTCATCTAATTGCTCTATTTGTAGCCTCCAAGGCAAGACTTCAGTGATATTCTGCCAGGTTAACATCCTTAAGGTCTTGGTGGCATATCACTGTGACACAGTTTACTGTTATGATTCAGTTTTTTGGTCTCCTTTTCTCTCTGTCATCTCTGAGTTTATTTTTTACAGATTAGAGGAAAAAGTCACTTCCTTGGAATATTGATTGTAATATACGGTAGACTCCTATTACTACTTTTTCAAGTTTGTTATAATATTAAAAAATAATAAAAATTGAATTCTCAACAGGAACTTGCCTGGAGTCTATTAATCTTAGTAAGGAAGCTTCACTAAATGAATAAGTCAGGTTCTTCTGCACTCAGGTGAGTTGATTCAATCCTTATTTTATTTAACTTTAAAAGGAAGATAATCCAATAATCTTTGCCGCAGGCAAATATCTGTGTAACGAACTGCTGTGATACCTATTTAGTTCAACTAACTAGAAAATATGATTCCTTATCTTTCATCACATTTACTATTATTGACTGACATATCACTAGGAAATATTTTCAATTTTTATTGATCACAATATTCTTTCCCTTCTCTTGATACATGCAAACTTTATTTTTAATAACAAACAAGAATTATATGTAGAAATGATGCGGGGTCGGTGAGCCGAGGGTCAAAAGAAAGATTTCTTAGACTCTTAAGATCTGGCAGTAGTGCTCTTTTATTTAGAGAATAGTGTGGAATAGCCTGGGGACAGGACCCATGGACAGTCAGAGCTTCTGCTGCAGCCGCTTCTGCTGCCCCCGCTGGCATGGGGACAGGACCCATGGGCAGGCAGAGCTGGTGCATGGGGACAGGACCCACGGGCGGTCAGAGCTCCTGTTGCTGCCCCGAGTTGAGGGTTAGGGCTAATTTTATAAGGCATGGGTACGTGACTTATTTTTACTGGAGAAAAGAAAATATGATGTAAAAAGTCATTAAATGATTTCACTGCAGATGGGGTCTGGTTATTGTGCGGTCATATAACTTTAGATACGAAACTGGCCATATAGATCGGCATGTAGGTGAGGATGCCCTGGGCTTCTCTCCCTGGGGCGGTCCTAATTCATACCATAAAAAAAGTCCACTGGGTCGTATAGTTTGGCACGTAGGCCAGGTCACCTTGGGCTTCTCTAGCTGGGGCAGCCTTAATCCACATCAGCAATGCATCATTTGCAATTATATACATTGCTCCCCAGAATAATACTAATAAGAAAAAAAATTGGGGATAAAGCCCATATTTTACAATATTGTAGTTTCTAAAATGCCTATTATACTGCTGGCTACACAGTGGATATGCAGTGAGATAGTCATGATGGATGGCACCAGAAAGGAGAGAAAGAGTGTACACAGCACATTTTGCTCTCAGTCAGCTTGACAAGGTTGACAATTCCTGCGGCTAAATGGGAGACTGTGAACTTAACCCCAAGTCTGTCGTTACAAGTACAGAGTGCAAGAGGTGGAGTGAAAAGCTAAATATGTGGAAAAGATGTGTGGGTGAGAATGAGCTGAATATGTATTGAAATTTTATTTCTCTTTCATGACTATGTATTCCAATTCAATTCTAGGCTGCTCAGACTTTGTTACAGTAGCCATAGGAGACGAATACAGATTTTGGAAAGAATATATTCTGTTATGGAATTTGCACTGAATGAGTTTTATGTTAAATTGAAGAATACTTTATATATACATATATATATATATGGAGGAAGATTAGCCCTGAGCTAACTTCTGCTGCCAATCCTCCTCTTTTTACTGAGGAAGACTGGCCCTGAGCTCACATCCGTGCCCGTTTTCCTCTACTTTATATGTGGGATGCCTACCACAGCATGGCTTGCCAAGTGGTGCCATGTCCACACCCAGGATCCGAACCAGTGAACCCTGGGAAGCTTAAACAGAATGTGAGAACTTATCTGCTGTGCTACTGGGCTGGCCCCTGAAAAATACTTTTAGGAAATAATAATAAATGTGGTGAAATATTAAATCACAGGTATCAAATCAAAGGAATTTAAGGAGCAATTGAAGAAGAAAAAGAGGAGAGATATGTGATATCTTTATGTTTATGCAGGAAACCTTTAAGTGCTGTATATGGTCTTGGAGGTAAAGTCATAACAACCGAGTGAAAACCATAGCATGTTTAATTTCAGCTCCTAATAAGACATAGAATTTTTACAGAATTCTTTGTAGAATGGCCTTCCCTTTACGCCTAGTGCCATTTCAGTTTACAGCAAGCAGTCAGGAAATGGCTTTGAGAAAAATTGATTATAATTGCAGAAGAAAGCAGTATTAACCATTTTGGAGGAACACACAGGACATTTTTTAAGAAGAATTCAGTGTATTTCCCTCCCATAATTATCTTTACTTTATGCTAATTCAGGAAACTTAGGTCCCATGGGGTTTCAGTCTGACTACTTGTTTTGCAGGGCTCAAGATGTGTCTCACTATATTGTGAGTTTACAGTGTGGTGCTGATTTTATAGGCAAGTCTAACTTCTTTAGTGTTATTACAAGCTTTTACCCAATTCATGTATATTATATACCTAGATTTCACTCATTCATATACTTATGTATTCATGCTTTCGATAAGTGTTTTGAGTAATTACTTTGTTCTAGTGCCCCATCTTTGCTTTCATGAATATTTTACTGTGGAACACAAAATGTTAAAAAAGTAAGTGATAAAATATAAGTAAATGATAAAATATGAGTACAAAACATATTATGTTACAAATGTGGATGAAATTGGCATTTTTGAGGTCTTATAATCATGATTATAATGTGTAGGTAAAATTATTGGAAGAGATCAAGAAATTAAGAAAACAGGGCATTGGCAGAATTATCTTTATGTCTATTGAAACCAATTCAATTAAATAAAACCCTTAACCAAATAAAAACCTCACTGTAATACCTCAGGGAGCAATGGCCCATCTTTGGAGGTTTTGAGGTACACTAAAATGACCATCAGATAATGATATTGTAGAAAGGTCTCCAGCATAATAAAGATGGTCTGGACATATTACACTTAATTTAATTTTATTTCTACCACAAATCTATCTAAATACTTGATATTAAAACACACCAAAAAAGGGTCACAGATTTTTATAATTTGTGATAATTAGGTAAATGTGATTGATCAAGTGCATTATTCTTCTGAAGGAATTATTTAAAAAATTGGAAAAAAAATGTGTGACTGAGTGTAAGAAGGTCACTGGAAAGGGAAATTTATAAATAGTTATAGCAACAATAGTAACAAAAAAACAAATTTGTAATACAACCATTTTCCTGGGTCATTAATTTTCTTTTGACTTCTCAGGTCTCATAGTTAAACAAGCTGTCAGGGAAGAAATTGTTGAAACTTATGATATGTATTTTTTTACAAGACAAGCCTTTTGACTAAACTCAGATTCATGCAAAAAGCTAGACTTTTCTTTGTCATGATGCTAACAGCCTCTGAGGATACAGGGTCTGATCATTTGAAATATAGCAGAGCCAACTTTATTTTAGTCCTTCCTCTCTCAACCACTTTCTTTTTTATTGCATTTGCACAGATCTCACACTCACTCTAAAATTGTGATACTAGTAAATTTTACCATTTAAATAATGTGAGAATTGAAACTGAGAGTTTTCCATGACATCGTTTACAGTATTACAAAGTCTCTCAACATTTCCTCATTTTAATCTGCTTTATCCAAAATTTGCTTCTCATTTCTCTGAATCAGCTTTCCTATTTTGTCCACAGGAAACAAGAAAACCAGAGTGTGGAAGTCACTTTCATTCTCTTGGGCTTCTCAGAATATCCAGGACTCCAGGAGTCTCTGTTCCTGTTATTCTTAACCATCTACACAGTCACTGTGCTGGGGAATCTGGGCATGATTGTGATTATCAAGATCAATCCCAAACTTCATTCCTCCATGTATTTTTTCTCAGCCACTTATCCTTTGCTGACTTGTTTTACTCTACCATAGTTACACCCAAACTAGTAGAAAACTTGGTTGTGGAAGACAGAACCATCTCCTTCACAGGATGTATCATGCAATTCTTATTTGCATGCATATTTGTAGTGACAGAAACATTCATGTTGGCAGGGATGGCATATGACTAGTTTGTGGCAGTTTGTAACCCTCTTCTCTGCACAGTTGTAATGTCCCAGAAGCTTTGTTCCTTCTTGGTGGGTACATCATATTCTTGGGGTATAGCCTGTTCTTCACATACTTTTTTGTTGACTTTATCCTTTTGTGATAATAACTTCATAAATAACTTTCGCTGTGAGCAGAACGTTATTGTAGCTGTTTCCTGCTCTGATCCACACATTAACCAGAAGACCATGTTAGTCTCTGGCACATTCGATAAAATAAATAGCCTGATGATCATTCTTACTTCCTATGCTTTCATTTTTATCAGTGACATAAAGATGCCTTCAACTGAGGGGAGCCGCAAAACCTTCTCCACATGTGCCTCCCACCTGACAGACATTACCATTTTCCACGGGAGCCTCCTTTTTCTCTACTGTGTTCCTAACTCCAAAAGTTCATGGCTCATGGTCAAGGTAGCCTCTGTCTTTTACACAGTGGTCATCCCCATGCTGAACCCGCTGATCTACAGCCTCAGGAACAAAGATGTGAAAGATACAGCCCACAAGTTAGTCAATACTAAATTGTTCTGTGATAAAATGTAAAGATAGAAATATTCATTATTTCTTCTTGAGGGTACTCATAAGAGTTGTTCAATAGCAAAGCAGTACATGAATCTATGGTAACCTTGTAACTGACAGTCCAATATCTATTCACTCTAATGTTTAGCAAAATAATTTTAACATTATAAATAATATTAGGAATAAAAGCTTTGACTCCTTAACCTAAGTTTTGATTCAGAAATTGTAATATAAATGTTTCTGTGTAGTATACATGACAGTGTGATAGCCCAGGAGAAATTTCAGTTAAATTTAAGTCATGTGGGATTTTTGAGGTGATCTGAAGGGTCATTGCTTACAATGAGGAAATTTACTTCTTACTATAAAAGTAGTAAATTAAGAGCTGTTCAACATAAAATCCTAAATATCTAAAAAATATTATATTTAGTTCCATTAGAATCATCTTAACACTGGAAGATTCACAGACAAGCAAAAATAAATAAGAAATATCTCTCCTTTAAAAAGTCCAGAATATGGTGTAGTTAAAATATAATTAGTAGTATAACCAAATATATAATATTTTCTTTCTACATACTAGAGCACAAGTAAATGCTACACATTTTTGAAATATGTGCCCATTATTCTGGTTTTTCCATTTATGTCAATGTAGTTGTATATTTATTTATTTATTTATTGGAAATTTTGACAAATTTTAGACATTTTAAGTTGTAGTAAATAGTGTAGGAGATCCCAATGTGTTTTACCCAGTTTCCCCCATGATAGTACAATACAGCATCCAGAACATTGACAACACAGTGCATAGATCTTATTCAGGAACCAGCGATTTATTGAGAAAAAGCAAATAATCATGAATTCCAGTGGGATGTAGCCATAAAAACCCTTTTGAATCAGTGACTTGACTGAGGTAGCTCTACTGATACCAACTGGGTCACTTGAGTGCCAAGCCTGAGCTATCTAGATGAACTAAACTTCAATCTACAGGCCTGTTTGTATACCATCTTTGTTGGACCATGTAGCTGCTGGTCTTTGTTGAGTACTGAGTCACAATAAAGTATGCCCAACAAGGCATACTTTAAGGCCCTGTTTGGGTCTCACCTGCTAATATTTTGTGAATCAAAGCAAAACACATAATTAAGCCCAAAGTCAAAGTATGAGAAAGTTATCTACTTTTTACAGAACTGTAAAATTACAAGTCAATATTCAAGGGTATAGGGAGAAATGTAGAGCATGGTTCAAACTCTACCAAAGATTGATGAAGACATTTCCCTCAAGAAACACATTATTTCTTGATAATGCCAGATAATTCTATGGCAGATAACAGATAGCTCATGACTGGGACAGGTTTTACCAAAGTTTTCTAATAATTGATAGGTCATTGGGGTGCTTTAAGCAAATGATTGGTTGAGATTAAATATAAGAACTTGCTTTTTCTTCTTGTGTCTTACTAATCATAATTAAAGTTTACAAACAGAGTCATGCTTACTTACTCTGCTTGTAATAGAGTGTATCCATGTGTTATGGTTCTAATTTAACCTTTTAAATATTACTTGTTTCTTTCCATGATTTAGAGTTTTATTTCCATATGGAAATTGAATACTCTTTACCAGAATGCTTTACATCAAATCATGTGTCTTATGTAACTTATTCTTTGGGGATATACAACACCATTCTCAACACTCATAGTGTATCACAGTAGTAACAAAGGACTGACTTTAATTTTTAATTGCTTATCAACCAGGTGACATAAGTAACTGTTCCTATAAGGTACTGTAAAATGTGTGTGTGTGTGTGTGTGTGTGTGTGTGTGTGTGTGGTTTAATAAAGATCTTTAAGAATATAAGAAAGAATTAGGAAGTTTGAGCATGCATCATGGAACTTTTGGTATATTCATTAAGGTTTCTAGGCTAAAATTTAGAATATGTTATACTTAAATTTTGATTTTCAAGTTATGTAACTTATTGTTTTGGTACTCTAGTTTTCTGTCTTTTAGTGGAAAATAAAACAAAAGCAAAGAAGAGTGAATAGTTGCAAAATCCTTTTGAACAGGATGTTGTTTTATTTTGGCAAATACTCTTGAATGAGTAGTTTATTTACACAAATGTAATGTAAAAATGTATGTTAGATAATATATTAATTCACTAATGGTTGTGTTAAGTGATGATTACAGGTTAATTTTGTTTTTCTACCAATGAATTCATATGTTACTGTTCTTTTAAAATTTTGGATGTAGGGGTATAAATGTGACTGATTTTCCTTGAAGGCCTGTGTCAGGACAGATCAGTATTTAATGCTATTTTCTTTCTTTCCTGATCTGCGTCCTAGAGGAGTACGTGTAGGAATCACATAGAGGGATTTAAAACATCAGCACTATGACACCTATGGCTGAACTGAGGAACACAGCTGGATCTATAGCCAGGATGGGGATAAATAGCATATAACCCATCTCCCAACTGCCAGCTGAAGGAATGCATATTCAGAATATAAAAGCAATAAGTCTAAATTATTGAATGTAAAAATAAGTACAGTATAATGTTAAATGTGTTTCCATATAAATACATGTGCCAACACTCCAGCAAAATAAAGAGACTAAAAAGCATATCATAACAACTATAATTATGTTGGAGTCATTGGACAGATGTGACTATAATTTTTTCATGATTTTAAGAATTATAGCCTCTAAACAGAGGTAAATTATTTTTTGATACATAAAGTTCCACGTTAATGGTTTAGAAGAAATTATATTTAAGTTACAGAAGAGGAAATTTCTTCTAGTTATTTTGTTTGTAGCTCATGACAACAAACTCTGTCAGGATTCTCCAAGGCCTGTGTCCCCAAGGTCAGGTAGTTAGACATAAGACAATGTGATCATAGAGTATAGGTTCCAGGTCTGTCTATTCCTCAAGGACATCTCTATGCTTCCTCTAAAATTTCTTGACAGTTGCAAAAATGACATCTCTTGGTATCTTTATGAAGTTATATTTAGCAAGAATCATCAACTGTCTGACTAAAGGATTGGAAAGAATTAAACAAAAATTTCAATTTTGAGACAGAATATGTATGCAGTTTATTAAGACTAGCAAGGAAGCCTTGAATAAAAAAACACAACAGGAAGATCCAGCTTTTGGTGAGTTGATTCTACCTAGGATCATCTTTTCATTCTGAAGTGAAGGATATTGGAATCTAACAAATTTTTATCAGGAGAAACATATGTGAGCTGACTAACAGCAATATCTACTTAATTCCTGGTTATAATCAATGGGCTAAATTCTACTTTCGTTCTTCCCAGGACCGTGATCCTGAACTTGAAAATATGTCTATATTAAGCACATTAGGGTTCATAGAAGAAATGTTAAATGTAAGTCTTATTCTAAAGAAATTATATTCTTCAGGGAAAAGGTTAACACACACACTCACAAAAATAGCAAAATATGCCAGATATTATAAATATTGTGATGATATAAGTGAAAAGAAAATAGAGTAAGAGAAAAGACATTTAGATTAACCAGCAATAGTTTCTTGGAAGAGTTATGCAATAACTCGTGAAGTGATGACACAGTGAAAAGAACAAGGTAGAGGTGCCATTTCAGAGGCATAAACAGCAGAAGATTAGAAAATATGATTTGTTTTTGTACAATAAAGTTTTAATATACTCTTGTGAATGAAGTAGTATTGTAGTGAAAAAAGGATGTGGTTATATTGTTCCTGGAGATATTATAGAAATCCAGGCTAATGAGTTCCAATTTGATGCATTTAGTATAAAATGTCTTCCCAAACCCTGACATTATTGCATTCCAGGCTGAGTGAGAGTAACCAAGAGTTAATCTTCCAGATTGGACTGTAGTTTGGGAGCGTGGTTGGAATCGTGTATCCAGGTGAGTGGAGAGTTGACAACAGTGGAAACAAAGGGGGAGAACATTTTGACTATTTCTCTTTTTTCATTTTTCCCTGGTTATCTTTTCCACAGTTATAGATATGAGATGGCAAAAAGAGAGTCAGAAAGAACCAGATGGGGTTAGGAAAGCAAAGAAAAATGAAGATATTTAGGTGGATTAGAAATGGATACAACTGTGAGGCCCAGACTGAGTGAAAAATCTGAAATTAAAAGGAGTCCAGGATATGAGACTCTTTAAAATACCTTCCCAAATTTGCTCTGCAAACATTTTCAAGACGTGGAACTAATGCTATCTTCTTGGAGATCAACAGCTTTAAAGAATCAAGATGGAAGGGAGCTGATATTTGTGGAGGATTTAGCTAAGTGTAGGATTTTTTTTTCGGGTATTTTAAAGTCAAATCTTACTAAAGATGTTCACACTAAATATCAAATTACCCAGGGTTATTATCCACATTTCATAGATTATAAAATTGAAGCTTATAAAATTAAACAATTTGCTAAGTTACATATGTAATAGATGACAGAGGATGAATCTAACCTAATGGATTTGCTGCTTAAGTCCATGTTCTTTATAAAATGGCATGATGTATGAGTGCCTTTTCTCCCTCCATTCAAATCTCACCTCAGAATGATGAGAAAAAAAAATGTTTGCCATTAGAGTTTTATAAGAAACGTTTCTGATAAGAAAAAATAAATAAGATGTTTATTTTCCTTTTTCTCTGCTGTGGACAAACTAGTTATTCATTCAACCTCAGTTATACTCTCAGGTACCAAGCTAAGTTACTTAAATACAATACCCCAACTACTCAGATAAAATTATCACCATAACATTATCTTAACAGTTATTATCTTCTTAATGCATTTTAAGTAACTGTTTTATTTGTATACTAATAAATATGCCATGTGAGCCAGGCCCTCAAATGATTGTCAGATGGGTAAGGAAGTGTTACATTCATTGTCAGTGATCTTTAACTCTTCTAGATTGTTAAGACTCCCTTTGAGTATTTTACTTAAAGTATTTATTGGGCACAATATGTTGAATAGAACACCTGCACTTTTCAAAAGTAAAGGTGAAATAATATTTATCAAAAATTTAACAAATAGCCCAAACAGCAAGGAGAATGGAATGGGCACTGCTAATTGGTAATACTAATGGAACCTGAAGAAACAGCAAAGGCATTTCAGGTAGACAGAATGGCCTGAATAAAAACAAGAAACATTGTGGTCAGCAATCAAGCCAACTAGAATAGAAGATCATGTGAGCATCAAGAGGAGAATAAAAGAACTAGTGCATGAGATTTAATAAGAAATGCACAATCCTGAACTTTGTCTGAAGACTTCAGTTGCATATGCATCGGATTCATTACTTGCTGGTAAATCATGGACAAAACTTGGCAAGGCAGTAAATTGACCTAACACATTTCAAATACTTGACTGCGAGTGCTCAGTTAGGCATTGCTATTGGAATTGTAGTAAATAAGAACAAATTACTGAGTTGGCTTGGCAGGAAATTCCTGAGCAGAAATGTTTAGTTCTGGTTTCAGTATCAGCTCAGAGGGGTCAATGGTATACCCAGAACATTGAGTAGATCCTCTGGAATATTTAGAAACTAGTGTGAGGAAGAAAATGGAAAACACAGTAATACTTGAAACCAACACTAAAAATATTTACCTAAAGAGAAAGAGCAAGAGATTCATTTTAAATGTCTTCAAATATTTGAAGGTTTATAATGTAAAAGGGTGTTAGATTTAATTTCTGTGAACTCCAGACATTTATTTAGATCCATTTAGACCTGGAATGTACCAGAAAATACAATAGGAAGAATACTAGTTAACAGAAATTTTCAAAAATAGAATTTAGGTTACTGCTTTGGTAAGTTTAACTGACAGATTTTGGTGAGGAGAGGAGCCTTGCTGTAAGGAGGAACAGTAGAAGTATTGCTAATGAAGACTGAACACAAGGTACGTGAGACTATTCAGGAAGGTTCCGCTTTTTAACTGTGCCAAGTCTTGTCTTAATCTTGGTTCAGAATCTTTCACAAAGATCTACTTAGTTGCCATTAGGTAGAGCATGATCTAACAATTGCAGGGATTATTTCTCAATCCAAGTTCTAGAAGATTTATTAATATAATACATTCATCTAGCTTTCTTTCTTTTCTACTTTCTAATAGCAGATTGCATCTCAAAATTCTTAACTTGCATGTATGTTATCCACTGAAAGCAATCTAAGTTACTAAATTTAGAGAAGACACGTTTATCAATATATGTGACTAAATACATCCAGTTCACAAAAGGTCAACCCAATCTTCCACATAACGGAAAATGTGGTTGCTCAGCTGATGGTTTTTGCCTGAGATTAGTGGTATATCTGATGACACACTGTTGCTTGTGCAAAGAATCCAAAAATGACATCAGTTCACAGATGGGTTCAAGATGGCGGTGCCTTAATCCTTCCTTCTTGCATTCATTTCTAGAGTCACTTTTTCTCAGGTTTAATCATGTGAAATTCCTGATATTCAAAATCCTGTTGGTTTACAAAAATAAAATATTTATTTTTTGAATCTTACACATTTTTTCATTCCTCATTGACTACAGCACCTAAGTTTGCCTTCACAAGACAGGTTTTGGTCATTGTTCTAAGAGAGATTTCTTTTTTAGTGCTATTTTTTGTGTGTTTTATAATCACTGACAAAGAAGCAGATTTTTTCCCTTTTTAATACACTATGCACTATGAATAAACTGCATCATCATCAAAAAAAAGTCAATGTGAAACTTTCAAGAACATCTCCCAAACACTTCCTCAGAAGACAGTTCTAGATTGTTGAGCATTTTAAGCCTTTAAGTAAACATATAGTCGTATGCAATTGAGAGAACATAGTCATCAGTGGAATTTTTCACCAGACTACTCAAAGATCTTTTTAAGTAGATATTCTATGATTCCTTGATAATGGGATATACCTGGAATACATAAACATTCAATATATCAATACAGAATTGTGAATGTCTTTCCCCAAAGACAGTTACTACTTCTTTTAATGAATTAAAAGTGTTTAATTTCCCAAGTCCACTACTGCCATGATCATATGACTACTATGATGTGTTCAGTGTTTTTCTGATTTCACTCTATGTCTATTTTGTCCTCATGTAATTTTATTTTATCATGGGGTGCTCAATGCTCTAAATATCAGACACATTTATAAGTCACTTACATAAAATAATATTAATAAGTACTATATTTTTCTTGTTTTCCAGATGAGGAAACTAAAGTACTGAAGGACAAAGGTAATTGCTCAAAATCAAAAAGTCAGTAAGTTTTCAAGTGAGACTCCAAAGTGGAGCAGAACACTCAAGGGTGCACACTGACCGCATGGCCTCCACTAGTTTACATTGAGCTGTCTTGAGTTCCTCTTGCCCCTCTTTCTCAAGTTCTGCTGCTCAGTTTTATTATTCTTTTTTTTTTTTTTTTGAGGAAGATTAGCCCTTAGCTAACTACTGCCAATCCTCCTCTTTTTGCTGAGGAAGACTGGCCCTGAGCTAACATCTGTGCCCATCTTCCTCTGCTCTATATATGAGATGCCTACCACAACATGGCTTTTTTGCCAAGTGGTGCCATGTCCACACCAGGGATCCAAACTAGTGAACCCCGGGCCACGGAGAAGCGGAACATGTGAACTTAACCACTGCACCCCTGGGCCGGCCCCTTTTCTTTCCTTTATTTATTCTTTTTTGTTGTTTTATGTTTTAAATTAAGAACCATGATACTGGATGAGGGAAATCAGAGCTCTGTGACCACGTTCATCTTCCTGGGCTTCTCAGAATACCCAGACCTTCAGGCACCCCTCTTCCTGGTTTTCTTGACCATCTACACAGTCACTCTGGTGGGGAACCTGGGCATAATTGTGGTCATAAGTTTCCATCCCAAACTCCATACACCCATGCACTTTTTTCTCAGTCATTTGTCCCTTTTGGATATTTGTTGTTCCAGTGTATTTACACCCAAACTGCTAGAAATATTAGTTGTGGAAGACAGAACTATCTCCTTCAAAGGGTGCATGGTTCAGTTCTTTTTTGGCTGTGCATTTGTGATTACAGAAATGTTCATGTTAGCAGTCATGGCCTATGACCGGTTTGTGGCTGTTACTAATCCTCTTCTCTACACAGTTGCTATGTCCCATAAACTCTGTATCCTCCTAGTTGCTGGAACCTACACATGTGGTGGAATATGTTCCTTGACAATCACATATTCTCTTTTGGAACTATCCTTCTGTGGTTCTAACATCATCAATCACTTTGGCTGTGAGTATTCTGCCATCCTCTCTTTATCCTGTTCTGACCGCTACTTCAGTCAGATGACATATTTAGTTATTTCTATATTCAGTGAGACTTGTAGCCTCCTGATTATCCTCTCCTCCTACGTTGTCATAGTTGTCACAATCATCCAGATGCCTTCTACTGGTGGACTCCAAAAAGCCTTCTCCACCTGTGCTTCCCACCTGATTGCCATCACCTTTTCCCATGGGATCATCCTTCTTCTCTACTGTGTGCCCAACTCCAAAAGCTCCTGGCTCCTGATCAAAGTGGCCACTGTGTTTTTTACAGTTGTGATCCCCATGCTGAACCCCATTATCTACAGCCTTAGGAACAAAGATGTGAAAGAGGCTGTCAGGAGTGTAATCAACTCCAAACTGCTTTCTCAACCAATATAATTCAAATAAATATATGTATTTTTCTTGTACTTACATACAATAATTTTTCATATATATTGCTGATGCCAGTTTACCTTTATTTTAAGTAAATATATGATTATGTTTTAAATCAACTAAATATTGAACTTTCCATGTTTTTTGGTGCTCAGGACACTCTGAATGAATACAGAAGTAATCCATTCTGATGCAATTCATCTTAGCTGGTTTCAGGAAAGAAATATATTTCAAAATCTCCCAGTTAGACATTATCAAAGTCAGAATGACAAAGAAGGGATATATATTTAGAGACTCATTACATATGTCATAGTTTAAGTTCTGCTTTATGAAAGTGCTGCAAAAACACAGACGATAACTGCCATTACTGGATCTGCCCTGAGGTTCTCATGACCAATTCTTTTGTCTCAGAAGTTCTATAAAACAGAACTTTTTATTCCCCTTAAAACTTTACTTCATTCCAAGTAAACTGACGACCTGGGAGTTTGCATTATGAGAAATAGTATCTGACATTGGGTCAGCAGATGTTGAAAATACTAACCACTCTCTATAGACATCACTCATGTTTTGAATATCAATGTAATATTTCGATCATCCATTCTCAACAATAAACTTTTCCCACCTACCAAGTTTCTTTATATTAGTAAATGCCCTCCACAGCTAATCAGTTGCTTAAACAAGTAAAGGAGAAGGCATTATTTATTTTGATTTATTATTCTGTAGCCTCTGTCAAATATCTGTCAGCCAGTTATTTTGTTTCTGTCTCCAAAATGGCACTATACCTTCATGGCTCTGCTTTCTGAGTCATCACTGTCAGTGAGTGGTTTTTAGCAGTTAGTACCAAATTAATATACTTCCGTATTTGTTAACTTTATATAGGGCATGAATCTCATATCATCCATAGTGATTTTCTTCCTTGAGCTTACGTATTCAACTTGGAGACGCACATACCGCAAATGGTGAGTAAGGTTCTTCAGCCTGGTCCTGGAATGAGAAAACAAGGGAACTGAGCCAAACTTAACCAAACACAGCAGAGCAGAGCTGTATTCAGTCACCAACATTCATGGAACTACTTCATTTTTAACTAGGTGAATATATATCATCACATGCTGTTTACTGGAAAAAAAAAAATCCATTCTCTCCTTGCTGCTCTTTAATACAAATCTTGTCATAAATGAAGCGTCCATATGTGTGTTTATCAGTATAATTGTCAGCCGTTGCCACAGTAACTCTTGAAAAAACCCATCAAACAATCAACAGCTTAAAAGTACAATTACTTATTTTAAAGGAGGTCGTATGAGGTGGCTCTACCCTAGGCTGTGAGACCAGGAGTGCCTTGCTCCACACCACAGTTCTGTGAGCATGGATTGCTCCACTTGTCTTTTATCATCTTTAGACTATTTGGCTATTTGTATTATGGAAATGTCAGAAAAGCAGTAGTCCAAGTGAATTTTTTTTAGATAAAATGCAGAAAGGATGGATCATCAAATATTTGATAAAAGAAACTTCATCACCATTAAAAACTTGTGGTAAAAGTTTCCTATAGGCAAAAGACACCATTGAGAAAATGAAAATGTATGCCTCAGACTATGAGTGATTACTTGCAATATATACGTTTGACAAAGGATTTGTATGTGGAACATATAGTGAAGTCTTTATACTCAAAACGAGAAGACAAGCAATCTACTTAAAGAAGGGTGAAATATTTTAGCACTTGACAAAACGAGATATACAAATCATATATAAATGTATGAAAAGATACTAAACATCATTAGTCATCAATGAAATTCTAATTAAATCTTTAATGAGACACCACTGCATAGTAGTTAGAATGGCTAAAATGAAAAAGACTGAAATGAAAATGTGGAGCAAGTAGAATGCTCGTACATTTCAGATGAGAGTAAAAGGTAAAATGACTTTGAAAACAGTTTATAATATCTTAAGAAATTGTGCAAACACTTCCCACACAACTCAACAATTCCTTTCCTGGGTATTCACCCACAAGAAATGAAATCCAGTATTTTAACTTAGGATAAAATTGTTCTCTATGGTATATGCAATAATACAGGGAAGGGACAAGAGTAAGGAGAGTGATGTTAGTGGATATTTTTGTTCTCTTATGAATGGTTTTTGACTTTGTTCTTTTAAAAAATGATTTTCCTAGAAAAGGTGGATTTTTGTCCATGAAGAGCTGTTTCCATATACCTATCAAGAGTCAACAGGAAATGGCAGAATAGATATGGAAAGATCTTGCCTCTTAACATAGAGAAACATTTATATATATATATATATATATGCACACACATTTATATAAATTTATATATACCTAAATATATTATGGTACAATCTACATATACTTGTTAATGTATGTAAATTTCCTCCTGCATTGTGACATTGATGACCTTCTAATAATATCTATGCTACCAAGACTTTGAGAATTGTACTGATGAGATATAATTGTCCTCTCATGTAATTGTCCTTTTGAGATTCTTGAGAGTTTAGTTTGTATATAAAGCAGTGGTTTTCAAATTGCTATTAATTCTCAGGAAAAGCAGACTCTCCTTCTAAGAGTCAGTGTCTGGTCAGGATATAAAGCAGCTATTCTTGGTTTTTAAAGAGAGGGAAATTAGAAGAGTGATTTGTCTTAAACGTACTAGAATGATCACTGGAATAAAAAGGGAAGAGAGGTCTTCCAGAGATAACTAAAGAAGCCATTAAAATCAGCAGACTGGAGAGAAAAAAACATTTTCTCAAGACTCAGCCATCCTATGGTCATCCCTGCTCTTTGAGTTGGCTGGGGTTTTGACTGAGACCTGACAGATGTGTAGCTCTCTCAGATCTGAAAGGCTAATAATGGTTGAGTTCTACCTTCTGAAATTTGAGTTCAGCACTTTCTCCCGCTACCCAGTGCAGCTTAATAGCCTCATAAATATTGTGAGGGGGAGATGGTCAAGCTTTTGTGGAGACTCTCAATTCTCTAGTCAGATATCTTTCTTCTAGGCACCATGACATTTCCATAGGACGTTTTACTCTGCCTTTCTGATTCAGATCCCAGCCCCCAGTGCATCCTAGAATATAGCACATGCCCTTTGGGGAAAAATTGGTCGTGGCTTTTTGGGTTTCCTTAGCTTTCAATTTATCAATAAATTCTTCTGTGTCCACAAAGCATTGCTGGATTCTCTGTTTTTTCAGTAGTGACCCTTTGCAAGTGCCAAACCTGAAATTCAGCCTTTTCTCAGAATCAGAAAATGTGTGCAGTGAAGGAAAGAGCTGATGACTGCCAGCTCACCAAGAAGGGTCTCTTTCCTCTATGAAATTTTAATTATCTTGTCCTAATGACTTTTATTTTTATTTTTAAAAGTAATTTCTGCAATTTGCTTTAAAAAAAAATGTTATTTCAAGGGAAATGTTGATTTGCAATCATCTTCTCTATCCTACCTGAATTAGAAGACCATGACCGACTATCCAATGAACAATGAAAGGTAGAAGACAATGAAGGACATTGTTAAATTGGTGAAGAAAATAACTGTAGAACTATCACCCTATGCCTAAGAAGCATTCTTTAAAAATACAGATAGAAGAAAGTCTTCTCAGATCAAAAAAGCTAAAGGAATGCCTTCAGTGGGTCTACAGTAAAAGGAATCATAAAAAGAGTTCTTCAAGCAGAAGGAAACCAGACGGATCTTGGAGAATGACTGTAGACTATGGAAAACTCAACCAAATAGTAGCACTTGAGCAGATGAATGTAGCTTATGGAATATAGTATTCAATCATTGATTCGGCAAATGCATTTATTTTCCTTTTTAATTTTAAAAGAAAATCAAAAACAATTCACATTCCCATGGGATGGATAAAAGTATTTCCTTAAAGTTTTGCTTAGGGCTGTGTTAATTCTCCAGCTCTCTGTCATGATATAATTTGAAGAAATCTCTGCCACCTGAACATGCCACACAACAGCACACCTGTCCATTACATTGAGAACATCATACTAACCAACAAGATAAACAAGAGGCAGCTGGTGTGCTGAAGGCCTTATTAAGACACAAGGGAAAAAGAGATTCAGAGAACTGCATTTTCAATGATTTGGTTAGGGGTGAAGTGATTTGAAATATTCCAGCATATCCTCCCCAAAATAAAAGACAAATTATTGCATCTTCTGTCCCCTACCAGAAGTGAGAAAGCACAGCTCTTAGAAGACCTCTTTTAAGATCTTAGAGGCAACACATTCCATACCTAGGACTGACTCTTTTACCAGGTATGATAACCCATAAGGTAATTGATACCACTTCCTGGTGTTTATAACTTTGTATAATCTCCTCCCGTTGTGTGCAGGTGAGACCTGTGACTTACTTCTAACCAATACAATATGGCAAAGGTAATGGGATGTCATCCTCCTGGTTAAGTTATCTTATATAGCAAGATGAAGAATTCTGCCTGTGTAATTAAAGTCCAAAATCTGTTTCTTTTTAATTAAATGGGAGTTTATCCTAGGTGGCCTTGGTTTAATTAGTGAAAACCATTTAAAGAACTACTAGGCCCTCCCTGAAGTTAGAAAAACTCCTTTCATTACTGGCTTTGAAGATGTGAGATACCATGTTCTGAGAGGGCCTACAGAGAATACCACGTAACAAGGAACTGTAGGAGGCTCTCAGGATCTGAGAATAGCTGCTGATCAATGGCGCAAAAAAATGGGTACCTTAGCCCAATATCTGCAGGGAGATTAAGTCTGCCAGAAGCTTGAGGAGCTTGGAAGGGGATTTTTCCCTTGTTGAGCCTCTTATCCAACCACAGCTCTGAGTGATACCTGAATTGCAGCCTGATGACATACTGAAGAGCCCAAAATCCCAGCTAAGTGATGCCTGGACTGCTCCCCTGTAGAAACTGTGATATAAAAATGTATACTAGTTTAAGCCACTGGGTAAGTGATAATTTATTATGCAGCATAGAAAATTCACATAACAGATGGCAAAGAAGGCTACTAGCTTTGACTCTGGGACAGAAGTTGG